ATAATGTGCTTGAAATATTTAGAAGTGTTTCTGGAATTTCAGTGTGAAATATTTTAATGTCCTTTAAATTATTCAGATTCAAAATATCTCTGTGATTGTCACACTATTATAAACTATGCTATACATAATAATTTATTTTAAAATCTTTATCTAAATTTTTATTTTGTTCCAAAATTGAGATAAAGACTTTATTTCAAGGAACTGCTTTTTATTGATATATTTAGTATGACCAGAGTAGATAAGGCATTTCAAGGGCTTAATGTACAGGAAATAAACCATCATCTCAATGCAGTTCCTTTTTAAAGATCTGTCATAATCAATAAACTAATGCTGTTATACTACTCAGTATCTAATGTGGAGAGCAAAGTCAGGGATTTTAAAATCAATAAAACAAAATTAGAGTGAAAATAGTATATTTGTGGTACATTTGGCCTAATTAAAGAGTTAACAGTTAATAGATACAGAATAATTAAGTTGTAAAATATCTTTTGATGCCAAAGATTATTGAATAAGGTTAATTGGGTAAAGAAACAGAATAGTGGATATTTGACAGGTTTTCTGGTTATTTAGTACTCTTCAAATAACCCGGCTTTGTTTTAAGACTTTCCATCTGCCTGAATTCTAAATCTCTAAAACAGAATCTAGAAAATTTCAGTTCCTCAGTTTCCTTTGTAGCTCAGGCATGGGCATTTGATTAGGTGAAGCAAACTCACCTGTATTCAGCACAGAATCTGTTTTGCTAGCAGGAGTAGCATCATTGGTTTCCGGATCAGGTTCCTCATGGAGAAGAGAAGTAGCATTGGTATGGTGGCAAGAGCAGACATAGTAAAGTTGAGTTTCTGGCAACATCAGAAGTGTGGCGTCTTGTGTTCCATGAGGGTAAAAATGGCGGCAGTTTCTTCTGGCACCCCACAGGAGAGCAGCCGTTTTTATCATTAACCTATTTTGGGGTATGGCTTTGGTCATTACCCCTAGAAGGTTAGTCTCAGGCCTGCCTGGTTCTTGACAATTTGAAACAACCTGTTTAATGCCTTTTCAGCTTCTAAGCAGCCAGAGGCTGGTTCTGTGACTTGTAACCAAGACTGACAGTTAAAGCTTTTATAGTCCACTTCCTGGTGATGTGAGTTAGGCAAAATAAAATTGTCTGGGCACAGTGGCTGATGCCTGTAATCCCAACACTTTGGGAGGCCGAGGTGGACAGATCGCCTGAGGTCACGAGTTCCAGACCAGCCTGGCCAACATGGCAAAACCACACCTCTACTGAAAAATACAAAAATTGGCCAGGCATGGTGGTGGACACCTATAATCCCAGCTACTCGGGAGGCTGAGACAGGAGAGTCACTTGAAACTGGGAGGCTGAGGTTGCAGTGAGCTGAGATTGCACCATTGCACTCCAGCCTGGGAGACAGAGGAGGTTCCATCTCAACAATTAATAATAATAATTAAAATTGAAAAGGAGGATGAATGCAGATTAAGCTAGTCCGCAAAGCAGAAATAGAAAGAAATATTTCTTTGCTAAAAGGCACTCTCCTGTCTACAGCCTAGAGCCTAATTGATTGAAAAGTCCCATAATTTAGAACCTTGGAGAGTTAAAAATGCTAATTGTTCTTATCCGCTAAAACTAAAGCCAATGCAAACAGGAGAATTCTGAGCTGTAACATGAAATAAGATCAATGCTTCAAGACTTTCTTATTCTTCCAGACAAAGATTAGATGTATGATTCATTTACTCACTGGAGCTTATTATTCTTCACTACTTTAAGAAGTGGCCACTAAGGTAAGGGTTAGGGGATTGGACAGAATGTAGAGGCTGTTACAAAGGATGACAGTCTTCATGCTTATATTTCTGTGGCTACTAGTGCATGGAAATGACTGGAAACTAATTTGAAGCTCATAAAATTTTTGAGTGAATTTTATTGCCAAGAAACTCCAGGCCTGACTAGCTCTTTTCACTTGTTAAGGCCAAATCTGGCCCCCTAAACTCGTGTCACCAGGAAGTAGACTATGAAAGCTTTTAAAGACCCAAAGAAGGGCATCTTCCCCAATATCTCCATCATAGAACAATGAGGCTCAGCAGGACCTTCTGGAAAACTAGCACTGTAACCAAAAATACTTTATTTCAGTCTGGATGAGACCTTAGGGGACAGGTAGTAAGTGGATGTATTCTACAGATGGAAAGAAGGATGCATGTTGCGTAGCCAAAAGGGTGGTGCTTGTTGCCTCTCCAGTATCTATTCTCCTGTTCTTTTTTTTGGAGATAGAGTCTGCTTCTGGCACCATCTCAGCTCACTGCAACCTCCGCCTCCCGGGTTCAAGTGATTCTTCTGCCTCAGCCTCCTGAGTAGCTGGGACTACAGCTTAAGCAATCTGACCACCTTGGCCTCCCACAGTACTAGGATTACAGCCGTGAGACACCATGCTTGGCTTCTCCTGTTCTTTTTTACTAACTGAAAAGTTGTGTTCAGGGTGCAATGTACCTAGCAAAAAAAAAAAAAGTTATTTTCCAGACCATGTGACACCTTTCTGGCCTATATAAACCCTATCAACTGGGTGTTACTTCCAAGAAAGTCACTGTTTTCCTGTTTAAAAGGAACAGACTGAGCTGGCACTCTTCTTTTACCCTTTTCTCTTCTCTCTTCCCATGTGGAGTGCAGATGTAATATGGCAGCAGCAGTGAAGACAAAACACTCATGGAAGGTAGCAGAACAAGAAGAGAGAAAGAGCCTGGGTCTTTAGTATCACTAAGGACAACACTAGCCCAGGACTGCCTTAATCTGTATTTCTTGATAATGTGAGAAAAATGAAATCCCTTATTTAAACCAGCTTGTTGAACTTTGGGTTGAATTTGTTTTAGTGCTTTTTTGTTGTTGTTGCTGTTGTTGTTGAGACAGAGTCTCTCTGTCTCCCAGGCTGGAATGCAGTGACATGATCATTGCTCACTGTAACCTCAAACTCTTGGGCTCAGGCAATCCTCCTGCCTCAGCCTCTAGAGTAGCTAGGAATACAGGTGTATACCGCCATGCCTAGCTAATTTTTTAAAAAAATTTTTGTAGAGACAGAGTCTCACTATGTTTCCCAAGTTGGTCTCAAACTTGTAGCCTGAAGCAGTCTTCCCACCTCAGCTTCCCAAAATGCCAGAATTACAGGCATGAGCTGCTGTACCTGGCCAGTATTTATAGATATGTGTGTGTGTATAACCTGTATATATATAACCTATATATAAATACATATATATATATATGTGTGTATATATAACCTATATATAAATACACATATATATATTTTTGTATATAGTGTGTGTATATATATCCCTATATAGTATGTATGTGTGTGTGTATGTATATACATATAAAGGTTTTATATATATATATGTATAGGTTTTAAATATATATAGGTTTTATATATATATATATGTATAGGTTATACATATGTGTGTGTGTATATATATGTATAACCCAGATTCTACAAGTGCTAACATTTTACCATATTTGGTTTATTATGTTTTCCTAATTTTTTCCCTTAACTTTCTGAGAGTAAGTTGCAGACATAATGCCTATTTACCCCAAAATGAGCATTTTTAAAATTATGATAGCTCATTTGAGTTTAGAGCTTCTGGAGAAATACTTTAGAGTATATTTCTTTAAAATATTTCAATATATATTTCCTAAATATACAGGGACATTCTCTAATGTAACTGCAATATAATTATCAAAACTAGCGCATTAACATTGATGTAATACTAACATTTAACCCTTTCTATTTGTCTTAATAATGCCCTTTATGACAAAATGAAAAAAAAAAATCCCTGTGACCAGTATCCTATTGGGGATCACATGTTGCATGTAGTCATCATATCTCTTTAGTCATCCTTAATCTAGAGCAGTCCTTCAGTCTTTCTTTGTCTTTCATGACCATGATGTTTTAAAAAGTATAGGCAGGTTATTTTTTTAAAAGGTCATGTGAGCATTTTTTGAGTATGACAGCTCACCTAGGTTCAGTTCTTCTGGAGAAAAGAAGAAATCACGTATCTCCTCAAAAATTTATATCTTTTCTTTTTGAGATGGAGTCTTGTTCTGTCGCCCAGGCTGGAATGTAGTGGTGCCATCTTGGCTCACTAGAACATCCACCTCCTGGGTTCAAGCCATTCTCCTGCCTCAGCCTCCCAAGTAGCTAGGACTACAGGCATGTGCCACCACGCCCCGCTAATTTTTTTTGACTATTTCGTAGATATGGGGTTTCACCATGTTGATTAGGCTAGTCTTGAACTCCAGACCTCCCATCTTAGCCTCTCAAAGTTCTGGGATTGCTAGCGTGAGTCACCATACCTGGCCAAAAATTTGTATTTTAAGAGCTTTATCTTGACTCCAGCAAGATATCTTACCTAGGACTTAACAGGTTTTTGTTGTTGTTTTATGATGTTTCTCAACATGGGCACTATGGGCATTTTTTACAAGACAGTTCTTCGCTATACCAGACTGTCCCACACATTACAGGAGATTTAGCATCCCTGGCTCCTGTCCTCTAAATTCCAGTAGCATTCTCCAGTTGATATGACCACCCAAAACACCCTCTTTTAAGAATAATTGTTCTATGAAATTTTGAATCTTTAAATTAGGAGACCAGTCTCAATTTTCATATAGTAGATAGTATAAGCAAAATTTCCAATTGTTTTCATTATCAGTAATTGGTAATTAAATGGCTAATACTAGAAGTTTTAGCTGAATTCTGTTCAGTTATTTAATTTGCTATATTTAATAAATGATAAAGGGTTAAATTGATCATATATGTTTTTATATAATCTGAAATGAGAATGCCATTAATTCTAATTAGAGTCCAGGACTCCACCTTAGATATCAACTGAAATAAAATATCCCTGGAAGATTTATCTTAAAACTAGACATTTTACTATTATAAACTTCAGGGGGAAATGAGTGTCCTTGCATTTAATTCTAATTTTAGTGATGTTAATTATTCTCTGTTTTTTTTTTTTTTTTTTTTCAGAACTGGTCCCTAGGAAAGACCTTTTTATAGAAAATGTGCCATATTGTGACACACCAACTCAGAAGCAATGAGTTTTCTAGGATAAAATAAGTCTTTGCACTTTTTAACATTAAATTCTATAACACTGGCAAAGTCCTGGAAATGTAGACATCTTTCTCTGAACTGGCATATTGAAGATGAATGAATTACAGAATAACTTCATATTTAAATTTCATGTTGAAAGGTCATTACTGAGAACTGAAGAACATAATTACATATTTCTAAAGGAAATTAGATAAGAAAACATTTCATTTTCATTGAAAATCAAATGCCATAAAGCAAAATAAATGCTTAGGGAGATATATTCTCTTCTCTCTGACCTTGATGAATATTTGGTCTTGCCATAGCTATTTGACAATGTGGTGTTTTTATAAGTTGGTCAGTTTTTTTCCCATATGAAATGCAATTATTAGATTTAAATTATTAGATTAAACTGATATTTAGTCCTGAAAAATATTAAATTGTTCCAAAAAAAATCACAGTGTGTGCCAGCTCTCTGCAGAAGTGGCCTTTGTTTTCTAAAGCACTGGGATTTTTTCTGCAGCTAATATGTAATTGTACAGTTTCTTTTTGGAGATACAGAGTATCTCTGTATTCTTATAAAAACATTTTTATCAGTCTTCTGAAAATAGTTGAATAAAATATTAAAATCACCTAGGGTCACTATGAAATAAAGAAATCCTAATTTAAAGTGGAAATAGTGACCCTTGATTAAACTATTTAATATGGCTGTAGTAGAATTAGCTGTATTTAGACGAAGTTAGACTTTCTTGTGAAATGTAATAGATGGCTACATTCTCTTTGTTTTAATTAATGAAACTTAAATGTCCTCTCTTCTTCCACATGTCCTGTCCTTGACAAGATGGGCAGTATCACAAAGGGCCAGGCATTCTATCATCTAACACTAGGAACTGTAAAATCCTGTTTAATATTTTTCTTGTTTCTCTTTTATCTGTATATCTTTGCCATTCTGTTTTCTCAGTTAATAGTATGTTTTCTCCCATTCACTGATAAATTATCTCATTTGATGATGATACAGGGTTTTAAATTTTTGAAAGATTCTCGATGCAAGCATTGTTATGTATCTAGAAATTATACCTAGAGAAAAATGAAAGTTGTTTCAAATTTGAAATTTGCCTTTATAAGAGAATACTGAATGTCATCACAGTATATAATCACTGTGTAAATGTGCTGACTTACAGTTATTTTAGTATCTGAATGACATATTTAGAGGAAAGTTAGCTGACATTATTTAAATTTAATATGTATTCTATATTTTAGTATTATTGAATATTTTATCACTGAGCTTTTTTTCTTTAACCTGAATTCTCTGGTACCAGTTTTCATTCACATTAATTTAAATATCTCCAGATTTCTTTCTTATAGTCATCATTAGTAGCAGATGAGGCTAATAATTTACATGTTTATTTTTTTTTTTATTTTTTTTTTTTTTTTTTTTTTTACATGTTTATTAAAGATAGTGGCTTAGAGATTTTAAGATATATTGATATAGGTAGGTAGATGCGATAGTATACTTTCATGCTGTAAGGCTATACAATAAAGTTCCTGTGAAGTACATCAACGTGTCAACAACAGGCTCGACTGTCACAAAATTCTGAAAGATGTGGCACTGTATTCTTATATAGCATATACTTATTTATTTATTTTTTGAGATTGAGTCTTGCTGTGTCGCCCAGGTTGGAGTGCAGTGGCGCAATCATGGCTCACTAAAGCCTTGACCCCTGGGGCTCAGCAATTCTCCCACCTAAGCCTCCCAAATAACCAAGACTAGAGGCATGCCCCACCATACCTAGTTAATCTTTTTTATTTTTAGTAAGGACAAGGTCTCACTATGTTGGCCAGACTGGTCTCAAATTCCTGAGCTCAGGTGATCCTTCCATCTTGGCTTCCCAAAGTGCTGGGATTATATGTGTGAGCCACCGCACCCTGCCTATTCTTATAAGCATTTATTTATATTTCAAATGCATTTTAACTGGTTATTTAATAGTTTAATTAGATAAAGTAATTCATGAGTTCTTGGCATGTTACAAAATAAAGATTGAGAATCAGTATTCTAAAAAGCGAAACTCCGTCTCTATAGAGGGTTTTTTTAAAAAAAAAAAAAATTTTTTTTTTTTTTTTTTTTTTGAGACGGAGTTTCGCTCTTATTAGCCAGGCTGGAGTGCAATGGCGCGATCTCGGCTCACCGCAACCTCCGCCTCCCGGGTTCAGGCAATTCTCCTGCCCCAGCCTCCTGAGTCGCTGGGATTACAGGCACGTGCCACCATGCCCAGCTAATTTTTTGTATTTTTAGTAGAGACGGGGTTTCACTGTGTTGACCAGGCTGGTCTCGATCTCTTGACCTCGTGATCCACCCGCCTCGGCCTCCCAAAGTGCTGGGATTACAGGCGTGAGCCACCGCGCCCGGCTCAAAAAGATTTTTTTAAATTGAAACAGGGTCTTGTTCTGTCATCTAGGAAGGAGTACAGTGGCAGGATCTCAGCTCACTGCAACTTCCACCTTCTGGGCTCCTCCTGCCTCAGCCTCCCAAGTAGCTGGGACCACAGCGTGCACATCACCATGCCTGGCTTTTTTTTTTTTTTTTTTTTTTTTTTTTTTTTAGGAGCGATGGGGTTTCACCATGTTGGCCAGTCTGGTCTCAAATTCCTGAACTCAAGTAATTCACCTGCCTCAGTCCCCTAAAGTTCTGGGATTACAGGCACGACGCACTGCACTCGGCTATGTAAACTACTTTTTGAAATGTTGAGGTTGATGATTAAGTACCTAAGTTTTCTGTTGTGTAATGTCAACATTTAATTAAATCTGTGTGTGTGTGTGTGTGTTGGGTGTTTTGTTTTGTTTTGTTTTGTTTTGTTTTGAGACAGAGGCTCTGTCACCAGGCTGGATTGCAATGAATGGGTCGATCTCGGCTCACTGCAACCTCTGTCTCCTGGGTTCAAGCAATCCTACTGCCTCAGCCAGGTAGCTGGGACTACAGATGTGCACAAAATTAGCCCAGCTAATTGTTTGTATTTTTAGTAGAGACAGGGTTTCACCATGTTGGCCAGGATGGTCTCAATCTCTTGACCTCATGATCCGCCCACCTCAGCCTCTCAAAGTGGTAGGATTACAGATGTGAGCCACTGCGCCTGGTCTTAAATCTTGGCACGGTGGCTCACGCCTGTAATCCCAGCACTTTGGGAGGCTGGGGCAGGTGGGTCATCTGAGGTTGGGAGTTCAAGACTAGCCTAGCCAACATGGCAAAACCCTGTCTCTACTAAAAATATAAAATTAGCTGGGTGTGGTGGCGCATTATGAATTCCATTATGAATGTGTGTCTCTATCTTTTGTCCTCTTTCTTTTCTCTGTTGAGTTGTCTGGCTTTTTCTGACCAATACTTTATATATTCTGGATACTAGTCCTTTGTTAATTATTATCTTTTTCCAATATGGGATTTGTCTTTTAGTTTATGATAAACTTGACTGGGCTAAGGGATGCCCATGTAGCTGGTAAATATTGTTTCTGGGGTGTCTGTGTTTTTCTAGAAGAGATTATCATTTCACTTGGTAGTCTGAGTAAAGAATATCACTCTCACCAATGTGGGTGGGCATCATCCAATTTTTTGACTAGAATCAAAAGGCTAAGGAAGGGCAATTTACTCTCTCTGCTTGAACTAAGACATCTATCTACTGATATCACTGCTCCTGGTTCTCAGGCTTTCAGGTTAAGACCAGGACTTAACACCATCAGCTCCCAATTCTCAGGCCTTTGGACTCAAGCTAAATTATACCACCAGCTTTCCTGCTTCTTCAGCTTGCACATGGAAGACTGTTGAACTTCTTAGCCTTTGTAACTGTGTGAGCCAGTAGCTATAATGGATTTCCTTTGTCAGTCAATACATAGGCATAAATATACATATATCCTATTGATTCTTTTTCTCTGGAGACCTTGACTAATACTATGTTGAAAACAGAGTAGGTTTGTGAAGACAGGAGTTCTGGCATGTCTTGATTAAGATGCTTATTAGATATCAAAGTGGAGATATTAAAAGGACATTGGATATAACATCTGGAGTTCAGTACATGATCTGAGCTGGAGATATATATTTGGGATTATTAGCATAGATAAAATACTTAAAATTATGACATTGGGTGTTATCATCAACAAATCTATTGAAAAGTCAAAAATTAGGTCCTGGGGTGCTCTGATGTTAACAGGTTAGGAGAATGAGGAGCAACAAGCACAAGAGACAGAAAAGGTAAGGTAAGGATTAATTAAAGATAGGATTAAAACAAGGAGAATGTAGAGCAAAAGTTGGTGAACCATAGCTCACAGAGACCAAATCTGACTTGCTGCCTTTTATTTGTTTACATATTGTCTATGGCTGTTTTCACACTGTAGTCAGTACAGAGTTGAGTAATTGCAAAAGATACTATAAGGTCCTCAAAGTTTAGAGTTGCTATCTGGCCCTTTCCAGTAAAAGGTTGGTGATCTCTGGTATAGAGTCCTGGAAACCAAGTTTCATTGAAGAGGAAATGATACCCTTTGCCAAATGCTACTGAGAGGTCAAGTAAGATTTAGATTAAAACTTGCCTGTTGGATTTAGCAACATGGAGGTAACTGATGACTTTGGCAAGTCAGTTTCAGTGAAACACATGGAGAAACACTGTAGGCTTATGTTGATTCTCCCCTAAATTGACCTCTACCTTGACTGTAATTGCAATTAAAACTCCAGTAAGATTTAAGGAACTAGTAAAATTCAAAACTTTAGGAAGAATAATAAAGGTCTGTAAACAGCTAAATCAGTCATGACAAAGATTAAAATTAGATCTCCATATCTAAAAAAACTTTGACCCATACCTCATACCATATACAAAAATTAAATAAAAATCAATAATTAGAACTAAATGTACAACCATGTGAACCCCTGAAATTTGTGACAGGTCTCAATTAATTTAAAAAGTTTACTTGCCAAGGTTGAGGATGCATGCTCATGACACAACCTCGGGAAGTCCGGAAGCTATATGCCCAAGGTAGTCGGGCAAACCTTGGTTTTTTACATTTTAGGGACACATGAGACATCAACCCACAGACTCAAAGGTAGCATTCTTTTGAGTTTCTGCTTAGCCTTTCCAAAAGAGGCTATCAGATATGCATTTATCTCATTGAACGGAGGAATAACTGAACAGAATGGGAGGCAGGTTTGCCCTAAGCAGTTCCCAGCTTGAATTTTCCCTTTAGCGTAGTGATTTTGGGGGCCCAAGATACTTTCCTTTCACACCTAAAACTACAAAACTACTTGAAGTAAACAAGGGAAAAATCTTTGTGACCTTTTTTAGGAAAAGATTTTTTAGGTATAACACCAAAAGCATAATACATTTTTTAAAAACTAACTGAACTTAATAAAAATCTTTTGCTCTGCAAAAGTAACTATTAACAGAATGAAAACACAAGCTACAGACTGGGAGAAAGTATTTATAAATTGTGTATCTGATAACTTTTACCCACAATAGATAAAGAACTTTCAATAATAAGAAAACTCAATTTTTAAAATAGATAAATATTTGAACAGACACTTCCTCCAAAAAGATACACAAGTGAAAAGTAAGTATATGAAAAGTTGTTCAACATCATTAGTCACTGGAAATTAAAAATTACAATGAAATACTACTACATATCTATTAAAATGGCCAGTATTAGAATGGCTGACCATACCAAATGTTGGCAAGTCTCATGTTTCAGCCTCCTTAGTAGCTGGGATTACAGGCGTGTGCCACCACACCCAGCTAATTTTTGTATTTTTAGTAGAGATGGGTTTCACCATATTGTCTAGACTGGTCTCAGACTCCTGACCTTAAATGATCCATCTGCCTTAGCCTCCCAAAGTGCTGAAATTACAGGCAGGAGCCACCACACCTGGCCTGGAATGTTCTTAAGTTGCTGATGGGAATGTAAAATAGCAGAACAACTATGGAAAACTGTTTAGTGGTTTTTTTTTGTTGTTTTTTTCCCCCCCAGACGGAGTCTTGCTGTGTC